TTACAAATTCACTTTCATTAATAATTTTTATTAAAATCATTTAATATTGGGTGAGTTGTGATAAATTCAATTCATAGTTTTGAAGGAATTTCATCTAAGATATCACATGCTTATGTATACAGTTCTCTAGGCCAGTTATACTTTTTTGATGTCTGCAGTATCTTTAGTCATATCCCATTTCATTCACCACATGGATAATTGCTTTTCTGTCAGTCTTGCTCCATGTTTGTCACTTTTATCAGTCTATTCAAAGATCTCTATTTTCGTTTTGTCGAAACTGTTTTAAATTCTGTTAATTCGGTTTTATCTTTATTATTTCCTTCCTTCTGATTTTTTTCTTTCTCTTTTGACACTTCTTGTTCTGTACTTGGAGTTTCTTATAGACAAAATACAGTTAGCAAACTGCATGTTTCACTTGGTGTATTTATATTTAACATTTAAATTTATTATTTTATTTTTTCTTCTCTGTTTATTCTGTTTTTATTTCCTCTGACATTATCAAGAAATCTTCCTCTTAAAAAATAATCTCTCTTTAAACCTTGCTATCTCTGATCTCTATCTTCACCTCAAACTACTAACCTATTTTCCTCAATATGACCACGATGCTTCTTCAGCGATCAGTAATCATGACTATTGTTATGGGTTCAAAGTGATCTCAGTTAAACACCAATACTTTCTAAATCCAACAGACTCTTTATGGTCCTTTCTGAAAACAGGGGCACAGGTTTCTTCCCCAAAGCTCTCTTCTGAGATTGATTTCTTCAGAAGGCCATCTGGAATCTTCGATGACCACAATTCTCCCTGCTCAGCACTCTTCTCTGTCCACACCCCAGTGTTGGTGGTGCCTGTGGTTCATCCCCTCCCCCAGCTGTCATTTGTACACAAACAATTCCTAAACCTCCCAGCTGTCGTTTGTACACAATTCCTAGGCCTCTGTCTCTTCCTGTAACTCTGTCCTGAAGCCTGGCCTGGCATTCCTGAACTCCGTAACGCATCTGTACCAGTTCCAACCGCATGTCTTTCAAGTATCTCCAACTTAGCAAGCGCCACAGCCTTCTCAACCACCGCCCTCCTGCCACACCCACCACTGGGAGATATTGCTTAAATACAATTTGTAAGCAAAGAAGTAATAATGGTGGGATTGATTTTGTAAGAAAATAAGCAGATGTGAACATTTCATTCTCTGTGCTGCTGAGCTGTCTCACGCAGGCAGAGTTCTTTCAAGAACAGGATAGATGCTGATTATCATGGCCAGTATCTCCAGGGATAGCTAATTCTTTCAGCTCTTCTTTCTTACTAAAAATGCCTTTCAAGAAAATCACCTCTCTTTGTTCCTTAAGCTCCGAAGGCAACTTTCTGATCCATAATTAGTTTGAACAAAAAGGCAGATGTCTGTTATTGTGACTGGGATATAGCGGTTACACAGTCATGAAGTGACATTCTAGTTGGGAAGTGATTCTCCTGTCAGTGTGCTTGGTGTGAGTCAGTGCCCCAGAGTCGGTGAACTCTAGGTGAACTGTTGAAAGATCAAGTTTCTGGATCTGTAAAACTGAAGACCAGCCTCTGGACTGTGGTGACTGAAAATAGACCATGAACCTGAGAGGTGAGGCCCAGCTAAGGAGGTCAGCAGACTCTTCTCGTTGATATATTTTTAGCTCTACACTTTGCCTGACATATCTTTGTCCCACACCATGCATAGCACAGTGCAAAGCATCAAAGAGTTGAATACTTGTTTATTACCTGACCTCAGATGGTCAATGGAGTGTCCAAGAGAACAATGTTAAATGCATTCAATCCCACAATGTGAATTTCCAGGAGACTCACATGGCATGAAAGACAATAGAATTATTAATATCAATGGAAACAGAAACACTAATAATAACAAAGAAGCATGTAAAGTGGCTAAATCTTTAACAGCCTCAGGAATGGTAAATCTACCAAATATTGAATGTGTGTTATTTGGTAGGTGCTCTGCGTATTTTATTTCTTTTAATTTTCTCAACATCCTATAAGCTGCGAATTACACCTGCTCGGTTGAGGAACACATGGTCAAAAAGTTTCCAGTAACTTGCCTAGGGTACACAGTAGTAAGTGGCAGAGGTGGGTTCAGACATAAGCTCCAAAGCTGATGCTCTTAAACGTAACGGGTGTTTGCAGTTTCACTGTCAACTGTTCAAACCAGAGGGAATAGTATGAAGAGTTAAGCTACCAAAATTTATATAAATCTGAGCGCCTATTATAGTTTTTAACTACAAATAGCCATCCTTACATGTAGGCTAAATGTTGCTTTAACAATTTCTTTGGGAAAGGTGTAGTGTAGTTTTTGACCAGGTCCTCCCTCCATAAGAAATCAGAAGTCCTCTGGGACCTAAGATGCAAGTACATAAATATGTGTTGTGTGTGTGTGTCTGAAATTAAAATCACAAAACTGAGTTATTGATTCTGATCTATCCTATTTGTTTTGTTAGAGAGCTAACCATAACTCACTATACTGATTTCCTGACACACTCGTGGGTCAAGATCCACAGTTTGAAGAGCCCTGGGATGTGGGAGGAATGTTTTCAAAGGTGTGACAACCCTGAGCCTTTTGCCAACTCCACCTGTGTATGTGGAAACTTGGCTCTCACCAGCACACCAAGGTGATGGCGTTGGATATCTTTGTTTAAATCTATCATCAAGGATTTTCCACCTTCATGCAGGTGATTTCTCATCAGTAATCAGGAAGGACAGCACATTTTCCCCCCTCTGTGCAGTACTGATCGCCCCCACGAACCTCCCATCCCTCTGCCCCCTTATCCGTGTCTATTTCCAAGGGACTACGGCATTCTCGGCACAGGGCCTGCATCCATCCACAGCTGTTGTTCAGACCATCGGTCCCAGCAACAATGCTGGTTGGTAATGGGTCTACCCTAAAGCAATATAACCTTGGAGGCTTAAAGCAAGTAAGCCGACTATTAACATTTACATGGATTTCTAGTGACATCTGTTTTGTCTTTCATGCCCCATCCGATCAGACTTCAAAACCATAACAGATCTACTTTGAATTTAGGGCCCGCTTTTTGCACTGGGAAATGGAAACTCATCATATTTTGGGGCAAAATTCTAAACTTCCTGAAAAGAAAGTATAAACTTACCAGTCCATTAAAGTAGAAGAGAGAATTTTAAAGCAGTATATTTACTCGTGGAGAGAGAAGCTTCTCTGAATCAAATCCCAAAATGATTTTGAAAATAAAAAGGGGCTCAAAGACTTATGGTAAATTCTCTTAAATCAGGAAGATAAATTATCTGTATAATTTCTATGTGTGCACTAAATAAACACACACACACACACACACACACACAACTCTACGAAAGCTGATGCTAATAAATGAGGATTCCCAAGTGGCTCATAACACATGCTTAATAAGTGAAAGCTGAATGAAGGAGTTGTATTCTTATTACCGTTTAACAGATGAGGGAATGGAGGCTGAAAGGTCAAATGACTGCTTAAGCGAGTACAGTCAGTAATGGGCGGAGCTGCTATGTCTGTCTTTAAACTGTCTTTTACTATCACCTCCTAAAGCTGAGGCCGAAAACTCAATCAGCTTCCTAGTTGTTATCTCTCCAAGTGAGCTGAGAGCCAGGACTGACACTTAACAACTTTGTTAGTTCCTGAAACTTTGGCTCTTCATTGTAAGGTATAAAGAATCATATTTACATTTTATTAGGCCACAGTTCAAGAATCTTTGGGAATCCAAACAGTGACTCTCCTTGGTTTAACGATGCAATAATGGCAAATGGAGAGATGGTTTTGGCCTGTCTTGTCATTCAGAGTTTATTTTTGAAAACTTCAGTTAGTTAGAATGTTTTCCCAGTAGCAAAAATGGTGATGGTCAGTTATTTATACAATTAGGGAAACTTTCTGACTGAAGTTTTCAAAAATAAAGTCTGAATGACAGGTTAGGCCAAATCAACCTCTCCACTTGCCACGGATAAGTGGTGATAGACAGAGACTTGACTTGGGGTGGTGAACACACACTACAGTGTACAGATGATATGTTGTAGAATTGTGCACCTGAAACCTGTATTATTTTGTTAACCGGCGTCACCCACTGTACACTTACCTCCTAGCACTGAGGAAAAAAAGGCAATGCTTTATTTAAGCATGCTTTCACTGCACAGCAAATGTGTATTTTTTAATAAACTTGAGAGAAGCAGGCAATGTAGATTAATAAACAGAAACCTCAAAGGGTTCTTAGTATGATCACCCCCATAGATTACAAACTAGAGAAATGATTACAGCTAACATTTTAAATACAGAACACTAGTATGGGAAATATTTATTAAAGTTGCATTTCATCTTTTCCTCAAAGAATTAGGTCACATTCCTGTGAATAATATCAAATAATTACAGTCTTATCAATTATCTTATACCAGGATTCCTTCTTTAACACTTCACTATTTTATAGTCCAGGCTACACTTTAAGAAATGCCTGCATTAACTCTATACATCCTACAGTATTTGCCAGGTGGTATAATAGCACATGTCAAAACGTGGGGAAACTTGTATTAATACTATAATAACATATAAGCCATTAGGCCACATTTCATAGTTTTATTGAGACTTTTTCAGTTTTAATTGTCTATGGTAGGTACAATTCTAGTGACCATAATTATATCCAGCCTCTGCCATTATTATCAATAACAGATGCAAAGTTGGCTGCCATGCCTTAGATAGAGACACACACACACACACACACACACACACACACTATATTGTACACTCCTGCATGCAAACTTATAGGAAATGCACATTCCTTTTATTAAAAACACAACTGTGCACAATTAGTCTGGAATTTGTTAAGCTACCATTGATTTAGATAAACCTGAGAAAGCTCAAAATGTCAAGTAACACTGTTTCCATACCGCTCATTCAATGGCAATATTAATCACAAAGAAACCCAGTTTGATTGTCTATATTAAATCACAGAAAATATAAAAATAAACATTTTCGCAAAAGCACATACTAGAATTCAAATTCACAAATTTTGATATGTCACATATATACCCCTTCATATTAATTTGTAATGACATGTATAATACAATGTACAACAGAATAAAAAATGTAACAGAATTCAGCAGCCAAATATAATACAGTTATCACTACAAACCTTGGAATTAAAGCTATCAATTGAACAAATGAAACAGATTAAAATTAATAGCACAGTTAACCTTGCTGGTAGTGTTTTACCTAGGAACTCCATCTCAAAGAAATTAAGATTATACTATTTCACCTTAAAAAAAAACAAAACAGCACAAAAATTTAAGAAGAACTGGGCACAGTAACTGATTACACCAGCTGCCTCTTTCTCTCCCTGTCTCCCTAAAGTTTTTCTTTAAATTCTAATGTTGTATCGATAGTGCCCATCCCACCAGACTTCTAAGAGAATCTACTTTGAATTTAGGACAGCATTTGGAAATAGAAGCACTGATTATATTTGAGGGCACAATTCTAAATGTCCTAAAAAGACAATATCAACTTTTCTATAATATTATATACAGACCCAGATGTTTGTATTTGCTATTGAGCTAATGATAGTTTGACACCAAATTATGTCTATACTGAAAGAACCCTAAATAAAAAGATAAACGTGCAAAAGGGTATCTAGAGAAAATTAATCGCTTGTATCACAAAACAGATTTTCATATTTTAGATCAAAAAAATCTGAAGACAAACATTTCAAGATACTAATATTTGGAAAGCATCATGATGTACAATAACTCATTTTATCTATGCACTGTTTATTATGTAAAATATACCAGTGTGACATTAATATCATACATTGTAATAAATATAATTTACATCGGTATGTTGGATCTTTCAAGAAAGTCTTCCAATCTGTACAACTAAAGAATTGTAAGCTTCATTAATAAATACTATTACGACAGCTACAATTTGACCAGCAAAGTTAAAGCTTCAATAGATCTCTAACTAGTTACACATCTTTATTGTCACCCATCCAGTTCCAGCTGCTCTAAGCACTGCTATCTTTTGTATCCAAAGGCAGTGTCGTGTCCTGCCGAAATAGATTGAGAAAACTTACAGGTCACAGGTCCACATCACAACTGGTGAACTTTGCAAGGATTTTTAGCCAAGGACTAGAATTGAAGAGTTCTGAAAAATACAGCAGCAGATTTCATGCACCTCTGGCTGTCTGTAGTTTTAATGTTTCCACATCTCCCGAGGCCCCAACAGATGGATGTTATCCAACCTTTTTTAATCCAAGGAATGGTCTTGAAAGGGTCAAGAGTTCCACAGCTGGCCGAGTGGCACTGTCATGGTTATAACTGTATATACTCATGGTGTATCTCTTCTTGGTTTGTCTTTTCATCTTTTCACTGCAAACATGTGGATGTTGAAAGAGTCAAAGATGTGATTTGTGTGCCATAAAACACCTTGAACTTGGCATTAAAATAGTTTTGTATTGTGAAATTTAGTGAACTGATAAATCCTATAATTTTAGCATTTCTTTCACCAACATGCCAACAGACTTCTGCCTTTATTAAAATACCTATTAATATCATATGTCAAGAATAAGATTTTAAGATCACTGCTTCATTTTGACCCTCTGTTCACCATTAGCATACACTCTTCCCAGAGACCTCTTTTTGCCTGGAAGGAGTTAGTGAGATCAGTCTTGTCACTATGTGACATGACTTCGCACATCACCCTTGTCTACTGTGTGATGTACGACACTAAAGAAGAAACACTCTGGAAAAAGAAAAACATGCCAAGAAGTAAAAGGGCATTTCTAGCCGCTGTCCTCAATGAAGCCACACTACTCCGTAAGAAAGTTCTCCGGAAGCTGAAACTATGCACTTAACACAGATACTGTAAATCAGGCTGGGCGTCGTGGGACCTAAAATGAAAAAAACTAAAGTAAATCATGAGGAAATACCATAGAAATGTGTACCATTAACCTTTGAGTCTAGAGATGGTACAGCTTTGAAATGTCCATTTTGTTGAACTTAGTGGTATTACTCCTGTCTCGCTGAACAGGATGTTTGAAAGCACAGTACAGTCATCACATATTTCAGACTCCCCTTTTGGAGGATTCCATGACAGACAATCCTGAGGGACCCTAACCAAGTGAGAAGCAAGCTAACCTTTTCCTTCCTCAAAATGATCAGGTGTAGGTAAGATATCTAAAAGGTTTCTTCTACAAAAGTTCTGTGCATTACCACTGAACATGTGAAAAAGGACCACTTTTTAGGAAGCTAAACACAGCTTTCCTTCATTGGTCTTAGTGGCCCGAGACTGGATAAGTTGAAGTAACTCTAAGAAGGAACTAAGGCCTCATAAATTTGCAGTCCACCCAGGTGTTGCACAACCTGAAAGCAATCCCTGACTTACCTGTCACCATGTCCCACAGGCTCTTGCCTTAAGACACAAACCCAATTACTTACTTATAAAGCACTTTCGAACAAGTTATTCCACCATGAGCTGCAGACTCTGATGTTGGCTTTATTGGGGCTAGTTTTCACAATTAAACATTTCTCGGACGCCGGATTTACTTGTTTGGAGCAATAAATTGTGTTACCTCACCCCATTATTCTACATTATATAGAATGTTAAAGTTTTTAAGGGCTAGAAATGCAGCAATTCAATATTGATTGAAAATTGTTATTAAAATTATTGAAGTATTTTACAGATTTCTCATTACTGCTTGGCAGAGAAAAAATATAAAAGAAAACAATGACTGGTCGTCTTCTCTTACAAACTATTAGTAGTGTGATTAGTAGTTTCTACAACTTACTTTTCATTGCTGTGGTATCTTAGGTACTTACATTTAATCTCCTTATTTCCCTCTCTCATATATTTGGAGCTTTTTTCCCTTTAAATATGAGGATATAAGATCCTGTAAAGGATTGTAGCTTCTCATTCTATCAACACAACCCACATGAATTCCTTCCTGCTTTTCATATTGCATTTAATGTTTGCCAACATTTCAAAGAAGCAAAAAAGAACCTTTACACCATGATTTTAATTTAAAGTCCTTAATCTAAAAACATCTTCTCCACATTCCCCATTGCCAATTACATTTGAGAATATGCTTGTAAGCTCTTTGCATTGTGATCGACTGTCAACCACTCTCTTCCTGATAGTACCATCCTCCTGCCAAATGGCCCTCAACTTGCTAAGTTATTCAGCTTTGGTCTGCAATTTATCTGTGATTTTTCCAAAATTGTTTTTACAGATGTGAGCATTTGTACTGGAACATAAACAAACTCCCAGGCATTGCACAGCAGTGATGCAAGGCAGTGCTCTTTATCACAGGAAGTCTCTCAGAGTTCATGGTGTTTACAAGGAAAGTACAAGCACTTTGATTATTTTGAATGCATTTTACTCATAAGATAATATGGTGTATCCCCCCAAAAATGTATACACACTTTGAAGGCAGTGTTTATTAAAATACATTTCATTTCCAAAATGTAACAGAATCTACAGCTATCAGCTGTTACAGTGTGTACACATTTTGGAGGGGCACACCCTATATATGCAGGCTTCCATCATCAAGCACTTAGCACCCAACATACAGTGAGCAGTTTTCTAGAAAGAACTGGAAAATCACTTTTTAGGCTTTTCAATTCATTGGCTTTACTTTTCCATTCAAGTCTCCAAGAAACTCAGTCAGCTACCCCTCCATGCAAAAATGACACCCCGCTGAGACCTCTGTTCATCTGCTGTTCAATGAATCGGATTTAGCGATTTGCTACATACTATGTTAACTTCAGGATGCCGGGCTTCAACTTGTTCCCACCACGGTTATTAAAAACATTAAAGACTAGATGCATCCCAAACTCAGGTTTCAGGTGGTCAGTTGTCTTGGAGGAATTATTAGCAGCAAAATAGCTCCAGTACTCAAATGCACTTTAAACAGAAGAGCAGGTAAACGTTTAACCGGGGCAGTATTTTTTTTTTAATTATAAATACTTCTGGTAAGAAAGAAGGGAGGCCCCGAAAGCAAACCCAACCAAGCTAAGTGCGAGTGTGGTCATTTCCAGTTCTCTCTCTATATATACTTTTTAAACTCACTAATTCCTTGGGTTGGTTTTTCTCTAAACCAAGAGAAACTTGGTTAACTTTCAGGAACTTAAAGCAGAGGGGGGGGGCACATGGCTCTGTTAAGCATCCTACCATGTTACAAGGGTGGGTGTCTGGGGGCCGCTGCGTCCTCACAAGCTCGTATCTCCATTCTGCTTGAACTCGGATAAAATATTGAGGGTCATGTCTTCGCTCTTGGACTGCAGGTTTGCCTCACTCCTCCTGGAAGCTTTCCTGGTGGCTCGGGAGAGCCTCCTCCTGAAAGTATCTCCTGCCAAGAAATAGAGAATGGGGTCCACACAGCTGTTGAGACTGGCCAGGCCTCTCGTCACCTGGTAAGTGGCATAAACCCTGTCGTTGAAAGCGCACATCTCGGGGGTCTGAAAATCCAGCCGGGCCCTCAGGTTCATGGTTTTCATGACGTGAAACGGGATGTAAGACACACCGAAAACGGTCAGCACGATGATCACCAGGTAGATGGACTTCTTGCGCAGGGGCGAGTTGTCCAGGTCGTTGTAGATCAGGGCCCTCACGATGAGCCCGTAGCAGCCCAGGATCAGCACCAAGGGCACGCAGAACATGGCCACGGTGGTGCCCATGCTGTAGACGAAGTAGCTCCGCAGGTACTCGTCCGCCGTGGTGTCGTAGCAGGCGGTGGTCTTGTTCTTGCGCGCGCCCGTGCCCGAGTAGAAGAGGATGGGCGCGATGCCCAGGACCACGACGAGCCACACGAGCACGCTGACGCCCACGGCGCTCTTCTTCTGCAGGCGGCCGAGCGAGCGCAGCGGGTGCACCACGCCGCTGTAGCGGTGCGCGCTGATGCAGGTCAGGAACAGGATGCTGCCGTACAGGTTCACGTGGAAGATGAAGCGCTGCAGCTTGCACATGGCGTCCCCGAAGACCCAGTCGGTCTTGTTGAAGTAGTAGAAGATGAGCGCGGGCAGGGTCAGCACGTACAGGAAGTCAGCCACGGCCAGGTTGAACATGTACACGGAGATGCCGCTCCACGGCCGCATGTGGAAGACGAACATCCAGAGGGCCACGCTGTTGCCCAGGAGCCCGATGATGAACACCAGGATGTACACGGTCGGCAGGTAGTAGAACTGGAAGCCCGTCTTGGTCAGCGAGCACCTGAACGAGGCGGCCACGGCCGCGGTGGAGGCCACCGTGCTGTTGGCCCAGGGGCCGGCCAGGAAGGCGGCGTCCGTCCCGTTGGGGACGGCG